TATTTAATATCTTTCAAAATATCAAAAAAACCGTAATAGCCTTGAGCTGTTTTCTGCGAAGTGTGTAACTGTCAATATTTCCCTGAATGTGTTAAGTATCTTTATCCATTGGTCGCAAAATAAATGTTCTATTCGGAAGCATGAAAACAACCTTGACTTCCATGGCTGTTTCTATTTCACTAAGATTTTGAGGATGTTCTGGAATATTGTCTACAAGAAAAACTGGCCCATTTTCAGTAAAAGAACGTGTTCTTCCATTTCCATAATTTGTTATAGAGGTACAAAAATGTAGTCAAAAAAGTTTCTGTACACGCGATTTAAATATGTAGTATACATTTTCTAAATACTACCGTTAGAATGTCAAAGGTGTAATAGCCGTTTTGGTGTACCAATCTTTTGTTATTTCTTCATCTATTGCTTTTAATTCTCGCAAAAATACCGTCTTAAGCTTTGTTTCAATGTCATGTTTGTAAATTTTTCTCCTTTTCGCTCTGTCCAATTTCATCCCACAGATGCTTGAAAGATTCATATTGGGCGATTGTGCAGGTACACAAAATTGCATCTTCATTTTAAATATTGACCCGTTTTGCGGTGTTTCCGGTTATTATCATCTTAAATAATCTCTGATATCATCTCTGATATATTTTAATTATACTGTATTAAGTTATTATAATTGAAATCGCAGAAACCAAAGTAACAGTGAATTAGTGCTAGTTTTTAAGGAAATAATATTTAGTTATTAATAACGCATACCAATTTATATAACTAATTATATATTATTATTAAATTGTCTTTATGCAAAAAACTGAAGTTTTAAACTTCCATTTCCTTAAACAGGTGAAATCGGGCATATGTCTAAATGATTTTTCTTTTCATAAATTACTAGAGCTTTCATACGAGAAAGTTTGTCGGTGAGCTAATAAATCACCCTTTACACAGTCCGCTAGATACATATCAAGTTGTGTCGATACACACCCATCTTTGTAACCTCGCTTATCATTTGCATAGTAAATAATAAAAATTACAGCCATTTTAAACAGAAATATCATATACTTATCCGATATTTTAAGTCATTCTGTAGATATTTCTGTTTACATCCTGCAACACATATTACATTAGCCATCATAAACACTGAAATAATATGTTATAGGGTTACGATTGTTGCTAGTCAATACAATAATAACTATTTCTCTTGACAAAAAATCGTGTTATGTTCTTTAAATGCTTCAATATTTTGTTAAATTGTTGTTTATTAGTGAAATCAGAGGTCTCCCTACTTAGGATTAACTCCATATATTATATATGGCTTTTGACGTCCAAGATATTAATAAAAAACAAGATCTGAATTCCAGTTCAAAAGAGCAAAACAAAAGTAAAGTTAAAAAGTCGCTATTTTTACTAAAATTTTAAAATAGTTACTTGTTTACTTTTTGAATCTATTAGCTAGACTTATCAACATTTTGTAATCAGCCTGATATGTATTTAGTTCTTCTGTGAATATATCTCGTCTTAGATAACTTGGTTTAAATTGAGAAAGGTTACTTAAGATAATTTTTGAGTCAATAATTACTTAATTTCATTAACATATGAATAATAGAAAATAATCTTTGTTGAACCTATTTTTGGTATAAAAATACAAAAGAAACCAACTTATTGTTAACTTTTTTTTTTCTATTAATTGTGTTACATCTGTTAATAAACTATTATTATTAGGGTTTTAATTAACACTTTCGGAGTTACGAGCATCATATAAATGATGTTTTATTTAAATGGATTTCTCTCCTTTTTGTCAATATTTATAGAGATTACATGCAGAGCAACATTCTTTCCGGTGACTTAATTTCAACATTTTACATCTGAATGTTTATCGTAATTATAAAGGCATAATTAAAATTGGAATCATCTTAATATAAAAAGCCAATCAAAATCTTGAGGTCGAAATAATTACAACACTTTCTCTTTATATACTTCGTACATGTGAGAAAGTAAAAAAAAAACGGTTAATTAGAATATGTTGTTATTTTTCTAATGTATCAGACGTGTTGCAAAATGAAGGCGCCGGCGCTTATTGTAACAAGACCGATTTTGTAATGTACCTTCGACTTATACGTGTACCGGCATTATAAAAGTGTGCGACAAGGTTGATTTTGATATTTAACTTGGTTAATTGTATAAGTACGGTTTATCGAAAAATACAAGAAAAATTACTTAATAAACTTTATGTATATATAGTTCGATAATGCAGTACCACAAGATGTCTCGTATTTGTCGGACTAACTTGTTATAATATACGTCTCTAAGGTTATTCATCGATTGCCAATTAAGTATCTTCAGATTTCATCATGTCCTCTCGAAGATTTGTAGATACAACTTCTATATAGTCTGATTCAAAAATAATTACTCTTTGAATAGTACATCTACAGCCATGAATGGTTTGTTGCCTGACTCTTCCGCAAACCATTCTTCTATATTTTGTTAGGTTCTGCATCTCGATTTTATAGCATCGCAATTCTTCAAGTGATAATTCGTCTTGTAAATGCTATTCAGTCTCTCATCATTGTTATTTTCATGATAATTGTATTGTTCTCTCGAATTTTAAATGTACCGTATTTTCTCGAATCTAATCCGCACCCTTTTTACAAATTTTGTATGCTCTAAAATCAAATGCGGATTACAATCGGATGTGGATTACATTGGAAAACCAACTTTTTTTACCAACATTGCATTTTTAAAATCGAGTTGCGGATTAGATTCGAGTGCGGATAAGATTCGAGAAAATACGGTATATATCTTTTCGTAAAACTGCATTCAGCAAGTTTTTTTTATAGTAGTCTTCATCATTTGAATCACATTTTGCTCCATAGGTGGAAGTTGTGCTTGTTTTTCAAGAAATGTACTACAGGAAAAAATAATTAGACACCATTCTACGAATACTTTTTTGGTATCCATGTTATAGTAACAAGTTTTAATCCTTTAGGTGTTCTCTTGTGCTTATTAATAAAAGCTTGAGTTTATATGTACTGTTAATATTAACATGAACATTGTAGACTTGCAACGTCTATTCAAACTGAAAGAAACTGCAGATCAATTCAGCATGCAAATTTCTACGCAAACAACTTTGCCTATGCAAACACAATCAATGGTGATTTCCAAAGCCCCAACACAATGAAAACTGGAAGTCGATCCAACAGGTTATGCAGTTTAAATATCTTGGAGTCGATATATCAAGCAATAACAATACCAGACATGAAGTGAAACCATAGGCAACCAAAGCCGCAGTAATATCTGGTTGCCTACTGGAAGTAAGGATCTATAAAATCTGTGTAAGACCACTGCTAACATACGCTGCGTAGATAAGAGTCGAAAATCAACAACCAAACAAGTCATGAGAGCTACAGAGACTTCTTACCATATCCGAATCATCGTTTTCTTTCAAGCTTTTCAACACCTTCGATTTGTTTCCTCTAGCATATCGCACAGTGCCTTCTTCTCTATATCTTCCAGCATGTCTCCGTTCCTGACATTATATGAAGTATTCGTTGCTAAACGCAGAATTCTGTTTCTAAATGATTCCAGTCTCTTCACATTCTTATGACTTCAAGATTTCTACTCCTTATGTCAACTGTTGCTGGAAACGGCGACTGTTTTCTTATCACGCCCTATTTGCGTGCTTATTATTGAAGAGAACACTGCATTGAACAATTTAAATCAATTAATATCCTGGAAGTACTGGAGATTACGGAGGAAGAAATTAGCAAACAGTTTATCCCAAACAAGGCACTCAAGGTGCTTCCCAAAAATGCAAGACGATGTACGAAGATAGTAAGGGCATAATAAAATGGCACTCCCAAAACTTTCCCAAAACCGGAAAAGGGTGCATCACAGCCCGGGAATAGAAGAGAATCAATTTGGATTCAGGGAACGTAGAGGAGCTGTACAGCAGGCAGTGAATTTTAAAATAACATGAAAACACCGGCAATTATATAACATGTTGCTCAAATAGTGCCTAATACGTGCATAGTTTCGTCAACCCATTCAGAACATTAACTCACCAGTGGAAGAGGGATAACATTCAAGGAATATTATTAATTTTCCACTCATCAATATTTTAAATGTAAATCAACGGATATGAGCTTAATGGAAAATCCACTTTAAAATGACGTATTTTGGAATCTTGTTTTTCTTCTTCTCACTCATTCATTTGATAATATTGCATTTAAAACTCAAAGATTGTGGGACGTCATATATCGAGATTGGGTACATTTTATTTTACTTAGATAGACTTCTTACACTAATTTTGCATAATAAAGCTGTTGACATGACTTCTTGCTAGGTAAATAAATTCGTAAATATGATTACTTCGTTTCTTTTTTAACCAAAAACCTTCAAAGATTTTATCCAAGAGAAGATTAAATTTTGGAATATATCGAAACGATAGCAAAAAGGGAAAATACTGCAATTTTGTCTGTATATTCAATATGATATAAAGCCACTGAAAGAAGTCCATGATGTCATCTCAGAAATTAATATAGATAAAATATGCGTATTGATAAAACAACATTTTGCTTCGCTCTATATATTTATTTTGCTACTAAAATCAATCTTTTTTGCGTTACGTCCTTCTCTTTTCTTTGATTATATTTGTTAATTATTATTATTAATTCGTATTATTATTGTTGTATTTTGCACACGATGTAAACTAAATTTCATTAGTCAGTAAAACCTTTGTATGTAGAATTTGCGCTGTAGAGGATTCAACAAGTAAATAAAGACAAATAAATATACACGTTCAATAAAAATTGATATATTTAATTAAATTAAAAGATGTGCTGAATTAAAAGAAATCCTTGGTTACTGTTTGTTTACATTGATTATATAATAAAATAATAAATATGGGTTGATTTGATACAATGACCTTATGAATCGTAGTATGAATCACCACTTTTGCTAACTAAATAAGAAGGATGAGTAATAAAATCTCCCTTCCCGTTACATTTCAGGCATGTCGGGAGTAACGTTGACGTCGGGGACGACGACATCCGGCACGACGGTGAACACGGGGGCCGTCGAATTAACTGATAGCGGGGGCAGAGCCCTAAAACTTCAAACGGATGCCCCGCACTTGGTCAGCATGGGAGGAGGTAGACTCAGCACGGCGGTTACCTTGCACCCATTACCACAAGGTAAGAACATAAAAGAAGTGAAAACAGAAAAAAAAATATAAAAAGACACAATTTCTTTAAAAATACATCGAGTGTAGTTTTGGTGATATTCTTGGAACGAATTGAAAAAAATTAAAGTTAAGCTTACGGTTTCCGGTAGTTGTTTCTTGGGCGGCTCGACCCTTTATGTTCTTTCTTAAAATAAGTCTCCGGCGCCAATTGTGATTCCGCCACCAACACACACGGTGACTTTACGCGCGTTTTAATCCTATTTTAAGATATGGTTCCTAATGGGATGGTAAACGACTTCGGCTTTAACGAAAAGGGTTTCAAAGAAATACGAAAAGAAAAAACTCTGATGCATGAAAATATACATCGAGGATGATTTTACAGCGCCATACTAGTCATGTTTTAAAGATCATTTTATATAAGTAAACCGAACCTGCAAAGTACAGGTTTGCTTATTGCTTTTTATTTTAAAGTTGGTTAAAATCTTAAAATAGGCGAAGTCTGGTTTATTCCAGAAGACGGAAATCAGTTCAAGGGAATCTTGTTTGGATTTGCGTATTTATTCAGCAAATTGAATGCTCTTTACACTGGTGTGAATCTCTTCTCGCTATTTATTTCGTGATTGTAAAGGTAAAATTTCAAGCATTTTAAATACTTCAATAAAAAAGTCTTAAGAGTTAATTAAAATTTCTTCGCAACATACTTTTAAGATGAATTAGTTGTCAGTATGATATACAGATGTGGACCAAACGGCTTTATGTACACATGTGTACCAATTAGTTATTCAGTCATCGTGTTGATAGAGTCTTCGTATGTATTCTCGATTAAAACACAGTGTATTCACGTGCTGATATTACTTGCACATGTTGAATGTCAATAATTGCTTAAATTCTTTCTAATACTTACTTCTATAATTTAGTTTTATGTATGCGGGTTATAAATACACTGGCCATTCATTGAAATTAGATACTACCTACATATAAACAACGGGTTTTATAAGGGGCCTCCTACAGAGGAAATGAGAGAAATTGATGTCTATTTATATTAAACGATCGTTAAATTAATCGGCAAACGTAGTTTGAAGAAAATTGTATTTATTTATTATCTACACTTTCACAAATACTACATTTACGATCATTATTAACGATTTCTAATAACTTTATACCAATTTATTTTTTTATATATTTTAGGTTGTTTATTAATATGTTTTTAATCATTTTATTTTAGGTAGAGTAACTTTGGGAAGTAGTCCAGCAGCAGATATTAAAGTTCAAGGTACTGGGGTACTACCAATGCATTGTCACATAGAAAATTGCGATGGAATAGTAACAATTTACCCTCTATCCGAAAATTTGTGCATAGACAGCGTTCCAGTAACAGGAGCAACTCGTTTATCTCAAGGTAAAAGGTGTAAAATCGAACTTAACTCTCTGGGTACTAACACAATGCTGTTTTCACTTTTTATAGGTGCCATGTTAACAATAGGTCGTTCAAATTATATGCGATTTAATCACCCGGCTGAGGCTAAACTAATAAAGGCAGCTCTACCAAATTCAAGGATTTCAATGACGCCTATGTCTTTTGAAGTCGAAAGTGGTTATCAGTCCCCAAAGTACGGTAAAAAACCGCCGGTGGTGCCAAGAAAGATCTCTACCTCACGAGATTCTCTATCCGATGACGAAAAACCGTCGAGTATAATGACTAAAGTAACCAAATTCGAATATTTAGCCGCTCAAAATTTAAAGAAATCGATCTCACCGAAAGTGTTCTCATCGAATTTGGTTACCGTAAATATGCCGGCTAAAGACGTTTTAGGAAAAACGCCGCCGGATTTGCAAACGTTTGCTAAGAATCTCCCTCAATCCGCTTTGAATTATTCCGAACTAAACCACACTGAAAAACAAAAAATTAAAACGCCCGACAGACAAATTTTCGGTAGAAAATCTCCAAATTACGTGAACGTTACATTAAATGAAACAAAAACCATCAACAACCGAGTGGTGATATACGAGAACGGATGCGTGCCAAAACACCAGAAAGTGGGAAACGACGGCGCTAATGACCTGAATATCATCAATAACAGGAATTGCGGTACGACGACAACGCAGAATTTGAACAAGACCGTGAACGTCAGCAGGACAACGACTTCGTCACCTTGTTTTAATAATACTTCCTGTAACGGAAACTCGATCAATATCAATCAACAACAGTGTTGCGATCCTGCTGATATGTACAAGTGCGTGCCAGCTGTTTGCGGAGTTTCCGGACACTTGGAGGATGTTGCTTTAAGAAAGAATGAAGCTGAATTGCGTAGAAATCAAGTGAGTATTACAGGTATTACATAATTATTATTAAGTGGCATTACCGGCATTACGTTTCAACTTTTCATGTCATTTTCGCTTAATTGCAATTTAATTAACTGTATATACGCACACCATATTTAAAACATTTTTTGAAATGTTTAATAACAATAAAATGGAAAAATGTTATATATGAAAGTAATTCTTTTCGTTTTTGAAAAAGTCTCTAAATTCCAGACTGTTTATTAAAAAAAAACCTTTTTTCCCACATCAATTAAGTATCTATAGTTGTAATTTAGTTGTATAACACGTTTACTGTACCATAAATATCCTCAATAATGTGTGGAAAAAGTTCATTTCAAAACGAAACAATTTTCACTTCACAAAACTTTTGTGGTTTATATTTACTGGTGGTTATCAACACAATCATTATTATCAGCTACATTCAAGTTAATATGATTTAATTTCTCCTTCATTGAGTATTTCTTGTATTTTTACTTTTATTAACATTTAAAACCTTAAAACCACATTCTAACAGCGCTTTATATTCCGAACGTTTAAGTATTGCCTGGTATAATTCTTTTTGTCACTATATTTGATAATTGTCAATCAATTGATTCCCAATCATTGTCGCTTTATAAATTTATTGAATTTCTATCTAAGACAAGATTATAATGATTAAGTACCTACATCTTCTACTTGGTTAGATTCCGTTGGTCGCAAAAATAAGAAATTTGTGGCGTGATCGTGGCAATTTAATATCCATTTGTATCTGTTATGACGAGTGCATGTAGCCGACTAATGTAGTTGCATGTTAGGATATGAGTAGAGATGCATTACTATTATCATTATATAGTGTAATGCAACAACTAAACCTTGTAGAAAAAAATATTCAAAAATTAAATCAAGAAAATTTAATTGTATGCTTCTCAAATTATGATAAAATATTAGCTGTAAAGTTTTGGAATTAGGGTTGCATAAGCGCAAAACGCAAATCCGTAATTTAACTACAAAATACTCCTAGATATTCTTTGATTAATTAAAATTAAACTATTACTTTTAAATCAATGTTTCATACAAATAAAAGTATTTAAAGTTATTACTATCATTTCATCTCCAGAATTGATGAATTTATTTTAAAGCTCAGCTGTGGAATACCAACAATAATACAACGGTAATATCAAATAGATACGCATTTAAATTCAGCAGTACGTGCAGAATTGTATGTTAAACTTATCCTTTGTTTCCGGTCAGTGAAACTAGTCATAAAAAGTTAATACATGTGGCCACACAGGTCAGATTATTTTATGTATACAATAGAATAGTGATCAGAAAAAGTTCTTTAACTTGACACAAAGAATATCGAAAGTATTGCGAAATACATAAAAGAAAGTCTTCAAATGTAATGTAATCAGGGACTTTTAATGTGACTGAATTTTAATCTGCATCATATTCGTATAATATTACGTCAAGAAACCTAAAAATCCTATCTAGATTTTTAGTTGTTCAATATTTCTTTCAAAATATTTACTATATGATAGACAACTATATCCCTTTTTTAATTATACTTAAAAGATATCTTATTGTATCCCAAGGATTAATTTTTCATACTTAAGCTTCCTATCTAAGCTGTATCTCAGATTATTAGCTTCTTTAAATAATGATAAGAAATAGCTGAATCGCACATATCTTCCTGGAATTAAAGAGGTTTTACATGTCGCTCCATTCCACAATTAAATTGACTGATACTTGCATCCTGTCACATAACAAGCAAGCTTACCCGAATTAGTTTACGGCTTGTTGAACTTAAAGTTGTAAACTCTACGGCAATCGCTACTCAAGTAACACACCGAGTTGTTTAATTATCTCGTCTTTATAGCTTCATTGCCGAATATAAGGGGTTCACATTGATTTGTCCACTAAGGATAAAATATTTTCAATTATAAACCTCACCGTTTTGACAGTGTTGGAAATATTTAAAATCTTTTTTACTGTTTTTTCGCATCTCGGTTTTCTTAAAGGAATTAATCTTACTAAGTTTATTTTTTTATATTATTTGCTATAATAATAGGGTTTCACTTTATTCTTATGTACTAAAGTATATTATAGTCTTCACTGTTCTTTGCACTAACATTAAATTTATATGTATTCAATTTCTAACATTAACTTCCTAATACATTTATTTAAACAAACTTTTCTGAACATCATCCTACGCACTTCGTAATCGGTATTTTAGTTTATTTTGATAGTTGTCGAAATTATAAAGAGGATCTATATCACTTGACGTGCTAACTGAGCAGTGCGTTATTATTAAAAGAAAAGCATAAAAACAGTTTTTGTGTCAAATTCGGTAAGTTTTAACAAATAATCGTTTTAACAAATACCTCGGGTTGAGCTTATCTATTTCTAAGGTAAGCTTTTGTGAAGATCATACTAAAAAATCACAATATATCTATTATCGTTATTATCCTGGTTTATAGAACTTCAGACATCTAAAGATTAAGACTATTTTTAGGTCCTACATGTTTTTTGTCGTGTATAAGTACTTACTTATATTATCCTACTATCATCTACGTATGAAAATGTTTACAAAAATTCGCAGAAAAAAGTTCATAGAAAACATGCATTCAAAATGTCTTACGAGAGGAAGTTCGACGAACGTCGTGTACGTCCTGTATCTAAAATATCAATGGGGTATGGATCAACGTCGAGCACACTAAACAAACTGTCAATGCATATCTGGCGGGCTAATTAAAGCGCCGGATGACCGAAAAATTCTAAAGGTCTTGACGCCATTCGAGTTACAGAAATTTAAGTCTAGGTATCTGGAGTCATGAGCAATTTTATTAAACTACGACAAGATACAATAAGAAATTGGAAGAAGTAATTTTCTAATTACTAAACTAAAACTAGAAACTTACGGGTTATGCCAGTTCAAAAGTGACAAAAAAGGTGGATAGTTGACAATATATACTCTATAATTGTTATGAGCTAATTACCATTTCCTAATTGCCGTGTTCGTTGTTGAGTGGTAGAATCCGTCATCGAGTCCAAAAAAACTTCTGGGTTCGACTTAGCTCTATACCATCCCTGGTGGAAGTGACTACTCCTGGCAAGTATTTTCGTTTTATCGAAATCTATTTTATGGTATACTTTTTCTAGTCTGCTGTCCCGTTCGTGTTCCTTTATACCGATATTCGAAGTTCCGTCCGTATTGCCCGGCCATATTGGCACACGCGTTCCGTTATACCTGAAACAAAGGAAAGACAGATTAAACCTACAGTTTGATTACTTTCCCTATCTGTAACCTGTAGTCCATTCTCCTTGTTGGTCCGTTGGATGTTCTTGAACATATAATCACTCTTTTCTTGGCTCTTTGGAAAGAAGTGCAAATTACGGACATCTTCTGTTGTTGGTGGTAGTGTGCGTTTTCTGCCAGTACACTTCGTGTTTAAGTTATCCATTGTTGGTTCAAGTT